ATAAAATAAAATTAGTTTTGGAGGTGAAAACACCCAAACTATGTTATTATTTAAAAATAACCTACCAAGTACAGTGGTCATATTGATATTCAAAAGAAATTTCATAAATTGTATCAACTCTGGAAAGAGTTCCATATCAGATGCTAGACCAGCAAAGTTGCCCAACTCAAAATTCAGCCAATGATTCTTTAACTACTATAGAGTACCTGTCATGTGTCAAATAATGTACAGACTTCACCACTAACCCTCACAAAAACTTGCAGGATAGGTGGAATGAGCCCCAGTTTACTTTGGAGGGGATAGTGGGTCAGAAAGATTAAATGACTTGCCTTAAGTCATGGAGTAGGCAGTGAGAGGCAGCACTGGGATTCAAACCCAGGTTTGTTTCTTTTTCCAAAGCCTGTGCTTACTGCTTTACCATTGTGCTCTTTAGTTTGTAAAGTACGGTAAGCCTGCCTGTTATTTGTTTAGTATCTTCTGGAAGTTTTTTTTTTTTTTTTTTTAAATTATAGAGCTGGCTTACCATTTGTATCATGTAAAAAAAAATTATAAGATTAACAGTTTCCATGAGACTATCATAAACTCAGGGCACACATTCTGGCCATTCCTAACTAAAAAACTTCAAGCAGAATAAGCAGCTGTACTAAAAAACTTCAAGCAGAATAAGCAGCTGTAAAATAGAAAAGAAAAATGAAGGATAAATGGCCTTGTGAAAAAAACAGAGCTACACAGATGAGAATTAAAAATTAACAGCCAGCAAACTCAAAAGAACCTTTGTCCTCCCTGAGGTATGGGGACGATCAAAAAGTTATCAAGGAATATTAATCAAGGAATTAAACGGCATCAGGAATGCTATAGTATTGGAGGAAATTACTTAACATTTCAAAGCCCCATTTCACTTGAGTGTAAAATCTAATCTGATGTTTTTTACTCTGAATTTTATTCAGTTTTATTCATAATTCATAATTGGTAATGTAGTATAATTGTTAGTAAATGTAGTACAAATTGTGCTCCTGTTTTAAAAAGTTTTCTGCAGAACAGTGCATTTATGGCAATGCTATGTTTAATGAGTTAGGGACATCAAATATATAGTAGTTCCTTATTTTCAGTTGTGAAAATGAAATGGCTAAAGCAGAAGAGACATCTATTTTAGTCTTTTAAAAATGTGTGTGGGTGGTCTTTTTTCCTCAGAGGCCCAAAGCACATGTATATTTTGTTATTTCTCCTTGCTATATTCCTGAGACTATACTAAAAATTTTAAGAAAAGGAACAAGAAAAAGGTAATTCATGTGTTCCCCACTCCTGTGTCTAGAACCAAGATCACATTATATCATTGTTAAAATTGTGTTATCTAGAAAGTGCAATATAGGGAAAACACTCTGAGAATCTTTTAAAAGCCTAGTGTTTCCCTTATTTGTCAGAATATGTGGTACTGGCATCCATAAGTATCTGTTAAACTTGCATTTAGCAGGACAAATAGTGTGATACTTATACTGATGACAATCATCCCCATTTAATGACCAGCAGTCACTGAGTGCTGTGAAAATTCACTCAGTGATACCCCGTGTTGGTCTTGAAGGAAACCGTACATATTAATTTTTGGATAGCTAATGTATATCTCTTAAGTGCCAAAATTTAAAACTTGTAATTATTTTTGATGTGAGTATTTTAGGTATGTTAGTATACCTTCCTGCCTTCTTCTTAAACATCATGCTCAGTATAATTCATATTTTCATAATGAAAAGTTAAAGTTATATTCATAATGTATTATTATAAGTATCCAGCTCTGATGTATGTAAAACACTTCGTAAAATGTAAAGGGCTATAACAAATATGTTATAAAGTGATTCTCTCAGCCCTGAGGTATACAGAATCATTTGTCTCAGACTGCTGTTGGATTTAAAAATTTTTTAAATATCTGCTAAGTAATTTGCTATGTCTCCTCCCACACTATCAATATGCCTGCCTCTAACAGGCTCCCCACTTTCTTCTAATATGCTGTTATGAGCTTGGACTTGAGATAACTGTGCCTGTTCAGAGTGTCTACAGTAAGAGCTGGAAAAACTCTGGGGGGCACAGTCTTTGAGACAGCTCTTCTGGTTGCTTTCCACTTTTCTGAAAGGTTCCCAGTAACCTTCTAGATAATAGAAACTCCCAGTTAAAGCCCAGGCTACCAATTTTTTTTTAGTTGCAACTAAGTAAGATATACTACAAACTAAGGATGCTGCTAGATTAAGGAATAAACAGCAATGTACCAAAGTACAGCAAAGCAACAACAAAGGCTCTGTATTTGCAGAGGGGTCTATCATGCTTTTAAGAAAAAAAAAGAAGAGTACAGGAAAAAAATTCAGATAGACAAAAGAGTATTTTGGATGCCATTAAACTTTTTCAATAACCATAAAAACATAGGCTTAAATTATCAAATATTGTTACAAAGACACAGTTTTATCTCATTATAGAATAAGATTATACTGAAATTTATATTCTAGAAATGATTCTAAATCATGTCCTAAGAATTTCTCCCAAATGTTAATGGAAATTACTATCAAAAGGAAAATCTCAAAGTTACCATTATGCTGCTCTCTTTAGTTGTAAATGAACTAAGGATAAAGATATGGGTTTTATCAAAAGCCCCAAGGAATATATCTCACATACACCTCCTATATGTATGTGTATATAAATGCCATTATAAATGAAAATGTCACCCAGAGATAATAAAATAATTTTTGAAGTTTAAATCTGGTCCAAAGTCTTTAAAATAG